GAGACTTGAGAACTGGTGAGCGGAGGCCACAGCCACACCCCCTGCAGTCTCCCCTGCTCCCCACATCCTCACCTGGCTGCCCTCATCCAGTTGTCATAGAGGGCAAAGGTCATCAGGGGCTCCGGAAGCTCCCGCAGATAGGACTTGAGGGCCCCTGAAGGGGAGGAGGAGCAGGTCAGAGACGACCCCCCCACCCCCACCCCAAGCCCTCTAACCCAGGCCTGGGCCCCAGCGATTGCCACCTGCCAGCCCCGGGTCACACTGCAGGGCTTCAGGCTGACCACATCCTCGGGCCACAGCCCCTTCAGAGTCAGATTGCCCGCCCCCCCCAAATGTCACGCACAGCTTTGAAACAGCGTCAGGGCCCCACCCTAAGCGAGAACTCACATGATGCCTCAGGGGTCTCCAGAGCACAACCCTGGGCCAAACCTGAGTCACACCCTCATGGCAGGCGGCCCCCATGCCCACCAGGGCTGCTCTGGGCAGGCACCTGCAACGGCGTGGTGGTCCGAGCAGAATTCCTCCAGGCTGCTGGGGTCCGAGGCCATGGTCTGCTTGAGCTTCTTCAGCACGGACGCCCCGGGGGCCAGGCGGAAGAGGCCCTGGGGGAAGGCGGGGAGGGTGGGGTCACAGAGGGAGTGTGCTCGCTCCAGGTCAAGTTGCTGACTCTCTCTGGGCCTCACTGTCCCCTCCTAGTCTGCTGGACAGTGGCCATTGATGTGTAGCCATCGGCTCTTAAGGTCTGAAATCCCGAGGGAAGCTCCGTGGAAGACAGGTGAGGCCGTCTACTCCTGGAAAGACGGAGTCTCGGGAGCCCTCGTGACAGGAGTTGATCTGGGGCAGAACCGATCCCACGGCTGTGAATTTGGTTTAGACCAGTGGTTCTCCACCTCCCTCACGCTGCGCCCTTAATGCAGTTCCTCATGCGGTGGTGACCCCCAACCATTACATTATTTTTGTTGCTACTTCATCACTGTCATTTTGTTAGTTATGAATGTAAATACCTGATATGAAGGATGTATTTTCATTGTTACAAATGGAACATTAAACATAATTAATGCACACTGACTCATCACAAAACAATATGTCATTATATCTTATGACACATTTATGTGTTTTCCGATGGTCCTAGGCAGCCCCTGTGAAAGGGTCGTTCGACCCCCCCAAAGGGTCGCGACCCACAGGTTGAGAACTGCTGGTTTAGAGGCAGCAGATTCCAGAGAAGCCCATCTTTGCCTCTGAGCACATTCTGCTTCCTGAGGTCCAGCCCTGGTGGCGTTGTGGTTACACCTTGGGTTGCTAATC